CATCCGAAATATTTCACGAACGGGGAAACATTCAGATTGCAACTGGGTAGAAAACGCAACAGTAGGAACATTCCCGTTGCATGCTGCTAACCATTCATCAAAAGCCGCGCCCCTCAAAGAGATATAACCCCCCCCCGAAAAGACCCCAGGACGTTGGCAGGTCCAACAACCGCGCTCCAATGACGTTTTTCCAATGAAAGCGGTCGCAGCCTTGCGATCGATAATAGCCAAGTATAGAACGATTACTGCGCCTGGTTATCCTTTTTTCATTTGGCTCGCAAGGCTGTTCTTCAGCCTCATATTGCATGAGGCTGAAACAGCCTATTATTGCATTATTGCCTGGATTTTAGAGCAGAGTCCGCCTTTCGAAAATCCAGATTCCATTTCAGGAAGCCATTTGGTGTGAACATGCATCTGGTTGTCAGTTAGAGCAGGAGGGGGGATCGTGACTGGGCTGTGAGTACGACCCCCCTCGAAGAGGGTGGGGGGGGGTCATACTCACACCGCCATTTCGCACAACCCCATGCTGTACCTTGCCTAGGCATTCATTTCTAAATAACTTGGAAATCACTTTAACTCGTGGAGAATAGGTTGACGGGAAAGGTAAGAGTTCTGGCTAGAAAGCCGTATGAAGGAAAAAGTATTTTCGCTGTGGATCCAGTAAATGTATCGAAGTGAAGAAAGCGATCTCGACTGTGAATGAAGCGCTGGCGCATACGAACTCCCTCTTGGCCAAGAGCCTGCCACGTTTTCAAGAATTGCTTTGAGTACGAATTTGGCGTTTTATTAGGTTGTCCGGAAAGTTCTCAGCGTTTTGTGTTACTATTTTTTGTACATTCATTGCTGATTAAAAACTCATTCTCCCTTGCGTCTCAGTAGTACATCCTGAAGAGAATTCTTTGCGCTATCTGATGGTATAATTGCCGTTTCACCATTGCTTGATTGACCCCTTTTTCAAGATTTTTCAAGCATGTCAAAAGAGCAACTTCGGACGATATTGTTTCTTCAACTACAAATTGGGTCAATCCGCAGTCGAGACAGCTCGACAAATTAACCAGGTGTGGGGGCCCAATAGTGCTAGGAGAAAGCACCGTGCGACAATGGTTCGACAAATTTCGTTCTGGAGATTTCAGCCTTGAAGATGAACCTCGTAGCGGTCGACCTAAAGCAATACCTGACGAGGATTTGAAGGCGTTTGTGGAGGCTGACCCATCCCAAACAGTTCGAGAGATTGCAGAAAAGCTAGGCGTTGGCAAATCCAGTGTTGCAGATGGTCTGAAACGCATTGGGAAGGTGAAAAAACTCGATAAGTGGGTGCCCCACAAGTGAGTGACCGGCAGAAATGGCACGTCTCGAGGTTTCCTCTTCACTGCTTTTGCGCAACAGAAACGACCCGTTTTTGGACCGAATTGTCACCTGTGATGAAAAGTGGATCATGTATGATAACAGGAGACGTTACGGACAGTAGTTGGACGCCGACGAACCACCGAGGCAATTTCCAAAGCCGAATCTTCACCAAAAAAAGGTTATGGTCACAGTGTGGTGGTCATCGGCTGGTGTGATCCACTATAACTTTTTGTCACCAGGCCAAACCATCACAGCAGAGTCCTACTGTGAAGAAATCGACGAAATGTACCGAAAATTGCGTCAGCTGCAGCCAGCACTTGTCAACAGAAAGGGTCCGATTCTTTTGCATGACAACGCCCGCCCACACGTTTCACAAATCACTATCCATAAATTTCACAAGTCACTCCATAAATTGAACGAATTGGGAGTTGAAGTTCTACCTCACCCGCCATATTCTCCAGACCTTTCACCAACCGACTATCACCTTTTCAGAATTTTCAGAACTTCCTTGCTGGAAAATACTTCATCAATCAGGACCAGGCAAAAAAGGCCTACATGGACTTCGTGGATTCTCTACCACCCAGTTTTTTTTGATGGGATTTATCGAATGGTCACATTGGCAAAAGTGTGCTGATTCGAACGGTGCCTATTTCGATTAAATCCGATGAGTATTAAGAAAGTTATGATCGTTTGAAGTGAAACACTCAAAACGCTGAGAACTTTCCGGACAAACCTAATAGAAGGCCCGGCGCAGTTCGACTCGGGGGGAGGGCACCGAGTGGATATTACACTAAGCTTTTAACAGGCACCTTGCGGAAGGCCTGCAAATTTGCTGTGAACAAATTAACTCGCTTGTGAACAATTTCGCAACCCCCCCAAGGATTTACAAATCTGACCAAAGTGAGATGTGAGTTAACATGTACTAACATAGGGAACTAGCGAAGGAACAATCCCCCCCCAACCGGAAGAGCGCCAGAAAGGCCGTTTCTATGAAGTCCTGGTTTGAGGGGCCATTCATGTTTTTGTTCGGATGTCACGGTTATTGTTCACAAGCATTTGGGCAATGTTTCGCATGTAAAATGTGTATTCTTGCCCACTCACTGACTGCGAAAACTATATTGGATTACCCTTCTGAAGCTTTAGAAACGGGTATATCTATTCACTTTCTGCGACGCTGGTTAGGAGACGGCGATACGCGGAAACCACTTCGGCGCACGCGCGGCATTTCCTAGCCAGCTGGGCTACTCTGGTTACTATAGCGCCTTTGCGTCAAATCAGCTGACCTTTAGAGGAAATACCGCGCGCGCGAGACCGACCTTGCCATATTCCGCAACTCGAGTCGCCTGATTCACCTACCCTAGCGCGTCTGACATACAGTCATTTAGAGAAGAAAGTCACAGCATCACAGAAAACCTTATAGAAATTACAGATACTAACTATCATGAATGGGTAATACTTACGTCCCACAGTCGAGAACGACTTCTGGATGTGCTTGTTGGTGTATAGCGGATGGTAGAGAATCTCGATGCTTTCGGCGATTTCCTGAACAAAGTGCCGTTAGGATGAGTGCTCGCGCGGATAGGTAGTTGGGCGGGGGGGCATTTTGCAAATCCGGTGCTTTTTGATGTCGAGTTCATTGCTTCACAAGAGATGACAAGCAGCTTCTGCAAATTTTGACTGATATTACTGCACGGGCTTCACAGGATTTCACAAATCTCTACTTGGTGCACGACACGACAATGGGATGTAACAGAGTGCAGATTGCCCCCTCTAGCTGAATTGTGTCTGTTATTCAGCAATCGTTGCTGTCAGTGTGAACACGATAGAATATATGTGGTGTTAGGAAGCAGAGGAACGCTGAATTAACGCAAAGGTAGGAAGCAGCTAAGAAGCGAAACGCCCTCCCCCTCACTCCAAACAACTTCATCGAAATGATCGTCCTGCTTCATCACTGAACGTTTTGGGTCGGCCGAAGTATGTATTCGGGAATAGGTACAGATTTGATACAATCTTGACTATTCTGCCCATGTGGATAGAAACGAAATAAAAAGTAGCGAAATCGATTCGTATATGGCCTTCCCGATAGGTTCTTCTATTCTGCGATTCTCCGGCTCAGTACCGACTATGAAGAGATCTAGGGAACTTAAGGAGTAAGCTGAATATCTTACCAAAAAGCTGGCCGCCTTCCTGAACTTGTCCCTTAGATGCTTTGGTATCGTCTCAGCCTCAACCAGCGCAGCCAGTGCAAGTATTTGTAGCAGAAATAACTGCATATTGGTGTCTGAAATATAAGTACTAATGACTCACTGAACCAGTAAATCGCGAATTTCTCAGAACTGAGCGCTCAGCCTCTTAGATAGCGCTCCTTCTTAAACACTTGTCGTGCCTCTCTATCGAAGTCATGATTCATGGATTTTGCACTTGATCCTGTGCCCGGATTATTATTAGAAATATCGCCAAAGGCCGGTGAGACTCAAGCTAATCCTTGCAAGAAAGCAACGAATCTAGCATTAGAGACACACTCCACGACTACAAACTCCAATAGTGGCTTCCAAGCAAACTTGTTCGAGCTCAGCGGCTTACTAGGGAAGAAGAAGAAGCAGACCAAACCTCGTAAAACTACGTAAGGTCTCCTTATTTTTTGAATGATTCACAGCATTGGAGAAAAGCGAGAGGTGAAGAGACACTGAGAGCACGTACGAAAAAACAGGGAAAAGGATGGCAGAACAGTCGGGCTAGCGAGGAGACAGGGGTGATCTCCACAGACATCACCAATCGGGTCTATTCGTTGTTTCTTGAGTTGAGCAAAAACAAGACCATCCAGTCTTTCAGCATTTGAAAAGTACCTCGGACTCAATTTGCTGATTTCCCCTCTAACATTTAGGCATTTGTTGTTTTTTAACATGCATTCATGTTTTCTATAGGCTTACTGTGTGCTGTTACCACATGAGATATCTCATGTAATAAATGTACATGAGCGCAGGCGCGGGTTCATCTCTGCGATGAGCACGAGCTGGTAGATGGGGTTATCATAGCGAATTAGCGCCTTCGTTAGACAATGTGTAATGTAAAAGTGACACAAGTTCTGCGATTGCGAAGGTTGTTCGCGGTACAAAGAGGAGATTTTACCTATTAAGCAATCGGGAATGTGTCTTTAAGTCCCGCTACTCCTATGTCGTTGTGGACAACGGCTAGGATGGGACGTTCAACTAGGGTCAAGGATAATCAGTGGACGACCCCCCCCCTGCTTACCATTAGAACGGATCGAGATCCTGATACTTCACAAAGATGAGATTGAAGATATCAGATGATTACTAGACTATCTGGATGGAGAATCCGCCTCCTCCTAAAGCTTCATGATTAACTTTGGGGGTACAGAAACACAACGAGGGCACAGTTTGGCCCGAAGAACTGGGACAAAGAGCAGGTAGAGCAGAGGTGAAAGGAACAAAGAGCAACTGGAACGTTCTTCCGGTAGAAAAGCGCACAGGAAGGGCGAGGAATTGTTTCAGGATATCATATGACAAGCGCTGAAATCAATTGTAAACTGACTCACTCATGGTGCAATCAACAGCTGTTAAACGGACCACCAGTCACTCTATCTGATAGATGGTGATAACATCATTATCAGTACATTATCGATGACAGCTGACTTGCTCACTTTCAGAAGAGGGATTGAATGGGAGAAAAGCAGAAATGATGACGGGAGCGATGATCAGTCTGTCCGGAACGCGTTGAGAACTCTGCCATAGGCACTGGAAATTGTGGATAAACTTGTGGCGTACTCTGACTTGCGTGAACTTTCTGCAGGATAATACTTCACCATTTTTCAATTCAACCTTTGGTCCTTCTGAACAATCGTGCTCCGTGCCCTCTTCTTAGGACACCGCACGCTTTCCATTGGGTCCTCCACCCTCAAAATTGTCTGGCTCGTCTTTAAATCGCATCATATATGTATTAACGTCGGGTTTACAGATTGCTTCAATGCGAAGAGCGTGCAGGTGGCAAGAGTGAAGATTCGGATGATTGCCGGCTGTAAGAAGTAGGCACATGGTGTCCACAGTCCCCCAGGTGAACCACACAAGGAATGAGGAGATGCTGCTTGCCGACCGTGCAACATTTTGCACAGTCAACAACTGTTCTTCAAATCTTGATCAAATTTGGAGAAGACTTTCATAGAGGCTGCTGTGGCGCAGTCAAAGCTACGGGAAGGGGGAGGGGGGGGGGGAGGATGAAATGCTTACTAGGGAACTCAGAAGTGAAAATAGCTTTACTCTCGATGAAACAACGAAAGTGAAAGCAAAATTTTTACAGCTCATACCTGACTTGTGTTCAGGAAGCCTACTGAATCAGATCCATCTTCGAGCTTCTTGGAAACCAGGTAAATATTTTATACAGAGTTCTCAAAGAAACCTCCCTTTCATGGAACTGTTAAGGCTGAAACGACCTTCCTCATGAAGAACGCTCTCACGATGCTACTAGAAATGAATGGGCGCAGCCGCTGCTCTCTTATATCACCACCGCACTGCGCCCAAGCTCAGCTGATACGATAATATTCTCAGGAGGTCAGCGTTCTCCGCCGCAGACGACAGGGTGTGGTGCTAGCGCGGCGCCAGCCTGTTTCTTCCGCAAGCGAGAGGACTGTATCGTATAGTTCGTATCAGTCTTTTTTCACCAATTATTGTCGCTGACTCGCTTCAACAACTGGTGGAGAACAGGCTAGCGGCACGCCAGACTCAGCCGCACTCTCACGCCCCGTCATCTAAGGCTGCAGCACTCAAGTGCAATTAATAAGCCCTATTTCGAAAGACTTACCATCAATAAATTTCTAGGCAATGTTCTTCAAAGTTGTGCGAGAAATCTCTCCGACTGATCCTCTCAATCGTTCCTTGTCAGCATCCGATGGCCGCCCATCACTTCCACCATCTTCAAGGTTCTTATCTTTAAGGCCGAATTCTTTGAACCACCATTGCGCAGTGCGTCGTTCCAGGACCAAATGCTTCGTTGATATTTAGAGCCGTTCCCGCAGTTTTCCTGCCTAATTTAAACTGGATTAGAAGAACTGCGCAAGTTCGATTGTTCGTGTTAGTTTTGACCCTGTGAAGCGGTAGAAAATCACTTCAAAACAAAATCGATCCAGGTATTTGATAAAACCGTGAATGCGCTTCAAAATTATATAGTTTGTTACAGTATCTTCAGAAAAAGTGATACAGAAAACACTTTTAGCCCTTGGAAAAAGACGATTACGTCGAAACGTCAGGGTTTTAGAAAAAATTGTTCCACCTAAAAACCTCGAATGGCACAACATCATATACTGAATACACGAAGAACAGAAAGCAGCATTTGAAGTTGGGGAAACCAGAAACCGCAAGAACATTCTTGACGTTCAAGTATTACCAGTCTATTACCAGTCGTCATCGCAATGTGGATTTTCAGTAGTATCCCCTGCATCGGGTCGAATCCTGCTCAGGCCAACCAAGCCTTCTAGCCCCCCCCCCACGGGGACGGTAAATTGGCACCAGATTCGTTTGGGAGGATAAGAACACTGAGTTGTACATCGGCTGGTCGCCGCTAGTCACTGTGTGAAAGTAGAAGCGTGCCGCACCCTATAAAGGGATTGATCAACGGCGAAATCTTTACCACTTTATCCTTTATTCCCTCCATCGCAGGCTGCAGTCTCTCCAGGACTCTTCATCTCCCGGAGATGGGAAGGGCGTGGCTGCGAGCTTCATTTACACGCGACGGCGGCTGCGATTTCTGTGGGATGTTGCCGTTTTGGGACAATGGTGAACAT